TGCGTTAGCTAGCTGCTAGAATTACCCAACGATACAAGAATTAAGTGACCGACGTGTGACCAACAGGGTTGCAAATAAAAATGACTCGACTTTTAATTATTTATTGAAGTTACTGAAACGCCATCCAAAAGACACGGGCTTCAGAGACCAAGCCGCTCAATAATGGGGAGTCTGCGTTAGCTAGCTACTAAACTACCCAGAGCGAACTCCGAGAATCTGACGGCGAGTTAATAACTTACAAGGGACATCACCCAATTGATACACGCCGATTTTGATGAAATTTTTATATGTTATAGAACTCGAAAAAATATTTGACACGTATTTTTTTTTATCGGCAAACATCCACTCTGAAGTGGTGAAAATAACCCTTAAAGTTGGGGATGAAGAAACTATTTTCGTAAATATCTCGGGAACCATTAGGCCTAGACGAAAAATTCAAAGTGCAAATTTTTCTGTTTTTAAAGGCCAATAATATGGTATAAGTGGAGTTTTGAAAAATTTATTTATTTAGAAAATATGTTAAAAATTAACATTATTTTGCAAATTTTTTTAATAAAACGTTGTACCATTTTGATCTAATTTCACATACATAAACTATGGGTCCAAATAAACTATGAGTCCAAAGAAAAAATACGGATCAATTGGAATTTTTAATTTCGCTTGCGGAAAAAATATTACTGTCCTTGAAGTTATACGTACATTTTATACCTTCCGTTCGGTTCACGACTGACTTCTATACATAGTATTCTGGCAATTGTATTATATTATATTTTTTATTCTAATTCGTTTAAAAAAATACTTATGTTGCGTTTACCGTTCGCGGTCTAGGGATTTTAGGATGTGGGTAAGTCTCGTGGAGCGCTGAGCGTTCTGCTCGCGGTGTGTAGAAATGATTCGAAACAGATTTAAGATGGAAAACGACTAAGTCCAATTGTTTATTCAGATAATTGACAAAATACTTCTTTTACGAGAGCGAACTGAAGCGTATAAAATACAAAATTTGTTTTATCGTTCTGCGCTTGGCGGAGATCTTCGGGTGATGCAGATCGATGCCCCTTCCTCGCTGGGTCCTGGATCCTCCCTCAGGATCATCCCTTGTCCAATGGTGGAGGAGTCCACCCCCGTCCGATGTGGGCCCCTTCTCCTGGCTGTGGTCCACCCTCAGCCGCGTGGTGGTGGAGGCTCCGCCAAGACGCGGGAACGTAACATTGAACATGTGTTTAGAGAAAGCGTTGGACCCAGAGAAACGCGAAAACAAAGTCCTTGTACTGGGCGAAAATTTACGACCCTCTTCGAGTGCATGAAAAGACATTCGTAGGAGATCTCGAAGCTTTCCAGAACCGAACGCGACTTAGTCAAAAACAACGAATTCGATACGGTCCCTAATAAATTAATCTCTACAAACATTCAAAATGAAGCTATGTTTATTCTCTGGATTCCCAAACTTTTCCTAGCACGAACACCCACGTCAAGTGGCTTTAACAATATAAGCTTTGTCTATTGTACATGATCGCGCGCTCAGATAGTTTAAATTTCGCTCTTAATTTATGGTCATCGATATAACAAAGTACAGATGCGCTCTGTAAATATTCTCACGGTCGTGTCGCCATACTACACTGACTATATTCAGGATGATAACAAGTACGCTCGCGTTACAGTATACAACAAGAGACGACACTCCGAACGAAACTTTTGATGTTTAGAAAATGCGGGAAATTTAAATCAAATGAATTTAATTTCATGACAACCTCTTACATGTAATTAGAAATCTATTTGTCATAAATTTTCTGTATATTGTTAATATTGATATTCGAAATATTTGCATCAATTTTACGAAATTGAAAAATTAAAAAAGAAAGGCATATACGAGAATGATTACTATATATATAAAATTTTAAGAATACACATATGTATATTACTCAAATGATTATTATAACTTATAAGGAAATAATGGACTATTTATTATAAGAAAATATGTATAGATGAATTACAAGGTAATAATGTCATGAAAATTGTAAAGTAAGAACATAAGATTTTAACTTTATAAGTAAGATACATTAAAATAATAATATACATATATGATATTGTATGATTTTGTTATTATAGATCAACTTAATTGCACTGTGGTGTCAAAGGATTATATAGAATATGAAGACATCATTGAAGATATCCTTAAAGCAAAATACTTTCTGGATCATATACATAGAAATTAGTGTATTACTTCAAAAGAATATTTTTTAGCTCTTATTACTTCTCTTAATTATAAAGTGTTATATTCAAGCAATATTCTTCTTTTTGTAGAAATGACATGTAATATTCAAGGGCAGTTAAGTTCATAAGAGGAAAAATTATTACAGTGCGTAGGTAAAATTTTGTAGCTTGCTGACTATTAGTATTTATAATAATGTGTAGATTGTTTAAAAAATAATTTTATCAATTATTCTTTATAATTACAAAATGTACTATCAAAAGGAGTGAGTTACAAACTAAAATATCCAAACACCAAACTAAATAATAACTTATTAAATAAATTTAACTAATTTAAAATTATCTGTCATTGAAAACAGTGTTGAATGAATAAAAAATAATCGTAATTTTACACTAAAGTCAGTACAACTCATTGCATAACTCCTACAAAAATTCCTTATTATATCAGTATAATCAAATAAATGTGTATATAGTTTTTTTTTCATTACATTGAAATCACATCCTTCTCATTTACTTATAATTTCAACATAAATGAAATATATATATGTCGGAAATACGAGTGATAGGGTTCGACATAATCAGCCCCAATTCTTTTTTTCTCTCTATTTATTTTCAGAACGTTACAGAATTTCTATTGGAATAGATCCTGCGCACTTGAGAGCTAAACCTCCACTGACCGCCGCGCCGTCGCGTTCTCCCGTCGCTTATCGCATATAATCCGGCATGAATGAATTTGGTTTATTCACACATTTTTATAGAATATACCGTATTTTCAAAAACGAACTTAGTGAACGTGTCGGTCATTTTCACTCGTGTCTTACATAACATTCTGTTGTTATACGTAAAAAGCTATACAACTTTCCCATTAAAAATTTTAATGTATCTCGTATGATTTTCGAAATAGTGCAAGTGGGTCGAAACTTTAGGAAGTCGCTTCACTACTTAAAATCGTGTCTCACAAGCCGATAAAAAAATACATGTATCTTATTTTTGCTTATTTAACAAACGTACGAAGTTTCAAAAAAATTGAAGGGGAACATTTCCATATCTTCCCTTGTAAGTCAAAGTTAAATAAAATAACGAATAAAACAATTAAGTATAGGATCCAGTTATTCATTATTTACAGATAGAAGCAAACCAATTATTTGTTATTAACTTCAACTGAGTGAATCGAACTTTTTTAATACTTGTATTCGTTATTCGAAAGGAATAAGGAATAAAATTTCAAACATTGTTCTTACGGTCTGCCAGAAAGATGTGAAACAATAATTCACATATTTTGAAGGAAAAATAACTTTTTAATTCAGCAAAAAATTTTTGATTAACAAATGGTTAACTAATGATTAACATATGTATTAAATCCTGTTTACATAGTTTACAAAACTTGTAAAAATAATTTAAATCAGACTTACCTATTGTTTAAAAGTAATTCTCCTTCTGACCTACTCAATTTGTCTTTCTCTTTCTTTTCAATGTCAAACATTCTTTCTTCAAGGGACTGTTGCATCGAGGCGTAGAAATCCGCACGTTCTTTTTCCATCAAGAACGCTGATCGTGTTGCGATCGGCAGTTCAGGATACAGCGTCTGGTGTTCAATATCGTAGAAAAAATGAGAAACCGCTAAAGTTATTTATTTATGGTTGTTTCTTTTTGTGTGATTATACATTAGATAATTAATTAGTGAAAAGTAACAGTAAAATGTTATAGTGAAATGTGAAGTAAAGTGAGTTCATTGATCTAGCTACAACAACAACTGTTATGCGATGTGTATCCTTTTGTAACGATTCTGGAACCTAGGTTCAGATGTTAACAGCGCTAGTGAGGTAAAGAGCGGCTTTTACCAACTGAACGACTCGTTTTAACAAATAACTAAATCTAAAGATTGTGGGATTCGTGTGGTGTGCGGTTAAGGAATGAAATCCACAGGTCAATATCTTGCAACAATTAGGTTTATTCAATAAAATAATGAAGATGATAAAAATAGTTATTTGAGCCAAATAATAACAAAATATGAAAAGTATACTGGTTTGATCAAAAGAAACTAAATAGACTTTGATATAATATTAATAATTGAAATAATAGAACTTGGCAAATTAAACAGTACGTCATAGGTAATTGTGAATCTAACAAAATAACTCTCGCTAGTTAATACTTTATATTAAATCGTACCTAAGTCTGATTTCGGATAAAGCTAACTTCGTTTTTATAAAATTAACTGACTTCGATATTCTATAAGATTTGATTCTCGGTTTCGAATGCTATCGCAATGATAAAATTTATCTTGATTAATACGTTTGTAATTTATAATGAATATTCTTTACGAAATTAGTAATATTAGCGCGTTATAGTCTACCGCAGCGGGGAACACGACCTAAGTGTGATTCTCTAAGTGTTCCTAGATACGCTTTCGCAAAGTTAGACAGATTAACAATTTTATCTGATATCTAACGTGGTGTAGTCGACTACGGAAATTACGCTGATGACAGAACAATATTCTTTTATTAATTCAAGTTCCAAAACTTGTTTGAATCTAATTAAATTATTTCCTCGGAACAGTTACTCTTTCTTAATTTGTCTCGACAACTAATTGTCCATGACCCTTTTTGTCAAAACGAACACTGACAGCCAAAACCAGATCGCTTAATTGGGGAGCCTGCATTAGTTAGCTACTAGAACGACCCAACAATACAGGAAAAGGGTGAACAGTATAAGTCTAACAGGGTAGCAAATCAATTGATTCTAATTATAAAACCGTGATTGCTTAACTGCCACCCAAAAGACACGGGCTTCAGAGACCAAGCCGCTCAAATGGGGAGCCTGCTATTTGCTTAAGAATCTGATGGCGCGTTAGCAATCCGATGAAAAATCAAATATGAGTAGCTGAGAGCTATCGTTTCGATATCTTAGCCTTTCTTGGCGCTAAGTATAGCACTCTCCTAGCGGAGTTTCAGATACGAGACCGTTTGAATGGGGAGCCTGCGTTAGCTAGCTACACGATCGAGTATCCAAATGGCGTATACCCGCTTTGCCAGTCAAGTATTAAGAATCGTTTCGGGCTCGCTTTACCAGTCAAGTATTAAGAATCGTTGCGACTCTTGACAGCGAAAACTGTTCCGGTTATACTTATCTGAAGACTTCTAGCTGGCTCGACTTCGAAAACTGCGGTTATACTTATCCAGGAGACTTCTAGCGTGCTCGACTTCGAAAACTGTTCTGCGATTTAGGCGGGTTTCGCTCGGCCTTTTATACTCGCAGGCCTGTCGATTTCTTGGAAAATCCCCATAACGTCGAAATATATAATTTTCATATAAATTCGTAATTAGACATTAATTGTGCAAACGAACGATTGAATTACATTATTAATATCGCATTCTATATAATATTTTATGTTCCTGATAAAAAAGTAATAATTTAATAGTGTTTTAATGAAAATTGTACTTTCTATCTTCTTCTATATACTATGCACGACTTTCATACGGATCGAATCTAAATGTATAAGCATACGATGCTTCTAGAACATTCCATTGAACGATATTATAATTTACAGTATATATTGTAATAAACTAACATTTGACCAGTTCCGGATAACATAACACATCACTCAATAAGTCTCCGGTCAAACTAAGAAAAACAAATTTTTTTTTAGAAATTCCACTTTAATCATCAATATACTTTCCTTCCAGTGTGATACATTGATTCCAACGATCCTCTAACTTTTCAATTCCCTTTATATAAAACGATTTGTCTTTGCCCCCAAAATAAGCCTCAGTTTCCGCAATTACTTCTTCATTTGAGCCAAATTTCTTTCCCTGGAGCATTTTTTTCATATCTGCAAAGAGCCAGTAGTCGTTGGGGTCCACATCTGGAGAGTACGGTGTGTGGGGAAACAATTCAAAACGTAATTCATTTAATTGAACCATTGTGTTCATCGACTTGTGACACGGCGCATTGCCTTCGTGAAACAGCAAACGCGGCACCCACTTTGGAAGCAATTGCACATGCCTAAATTTTCATGCAAAATTGTGAAGACACTACCTTCTGATATCTTCAAGGCATCAGCTATCTCACACAACTTAAGTTTACGGTCTTTTAAAACTATTTTGTGGACATTTTTTATGTTTTCCGGAACAACTGCTGATTTTGGACAACCAGAGCGTTCAGCATCATCGGTTTTTGTACGACCGCATTTAAATTCAGCATACCAGTCAATGATAGTTGATTTCCCTGGTGCAGAGTCCCTATAATGCTTATCAAGTCACTTTTTGGTTTCAACAGTATTTTTTCCGATTAAAAAACAGTGTTTAATCAACACAGGAAATTCCTTTCTATCCAGTTCAAAATTACGAAACTGCGGGCACTAAAATGACTGTAACTTCTAAACTATCGGTCAGAATACCATGAAATTTTGACACGTACTGTTTGAAAGTTAGTATTATTCGAAAATAATGTGGGTCTGTCACCAGTGTCGCCATATATGTGTCAGACCAGGGACTTATTGAGTGACGTATTAATATTAGTACGCTTGATGTGCATTGATTGATTTGTTTAACCAATAGGTTTTAATAACTAATAATGTCCTAATTGTAAAATGTATTCCTATCCTTCGCTAAGATTACGCGAGAATACTAGGAAATTCGGAGCGAGCATCGCGGCACATATGCACATAGCATCAGAAGAGGAAATCGCGACGAAGCGAGGGAGGTCGAGCTCTGGGAAGAGTATAAGACCAAAAAGAAGAACCTCAGAGCGGCCATCACGGAGGCGAAATCCCGGTCGCGGGAAGCCTTCTTCGGTAGCCTGAGAAGTAACCCGTGGGGGTGCCCATACAAAATGGTGATGGGAAAACTCCAGCCATGGGCGCCCCCGGTTACGGTGGGGCTAGACCTCGAGTTCCTGGAGACGGTGGTGAGCACCCTGTTCCCAAGGGACGAGGGCCACCATCGGTCTCGAGGCCGGCCCAATTTG